CACGGAATATCTATGAAACAGATGACCCTGCTTTATTCATGTTCGGGGAATCAAAGCATTGTGTGTTACTGCATCATTCACATGTAAGCGAGAGACAGTACTTGCAAGGCTCTTGTGTGCCAGGCCTATTTGTAATGCATCAAACACGTCTGCCAAGATGAAAATGCCAGACCACATTGTGCCCTTGCGTCACCGATTATCTCCAATGAAAAGGCATACGGAAATTAGACTGGCTTAGTCCTCTGACATGTCCCCAATAGAGCATCTGCGGGATGTTGTCGGGCGGAGAAAGTTCGTGAAAGGCATTATAACGTATCTCAACATCGTCCTTAAGTTTGGAAATGTACCTCGCCTGCTTGTCCTTGGCCCCGGCGATTGTGGCCTGGACTTCTTTAGGCGACCTTGGCCTTGCTGTCTCCCTTGGCTTTGAGATCTGCCCTGACTGATGTTGGTTGTTCTTCGTCCTCGGAAGTTTGTGTTTCTTCTGAATGCACAGTTCTGTGTTCAAGGACCTCTGCTCCAGTGTGAACTTGCGCGAGTTATTTTCACAGAATGCGGTTCCCATCAGTTCTTGGATTTTTATAAGTAAGGATTTTCTACTTTTGAGTTGACTTTTAAGGCAGAGTTTGTATGCCATTTCTTGATTCTCAAGTCGCTTGTTAGAGATTTCCCTTCAATCTGGCATACTCTGTCCCATTCAACAAATCAAGATTTTTCCCCTCTGTAGTTTTCACAAGTATTTCAATGATATCTGCATCCATTTGTTTGAATTATAGTTAATGGGACTCAGTAGTAAATGTTCAATTTCAGTTTTCATGGAGAATCTGATTATTATTATTATAATAAGTGCAAAATGAACAGGCAAACTTTATTGCACCCTTAGTGAACACACCAACGTGGTAAGCTAAACATTAAAGCCTAAATATTATATGAACGTTATGTAATCAAACAGTTCACAAAAAGATTCCAAGGCAGATATTTGAGTTGTTCGTTAAAGTAAGCCTTACACACGTTCGTGTTCATTTGCATTTGACGCACAGCGTTTCGTTCATAATATTTCTTCGTCACATGATCCACTGTCATAATCTTACAAACAAGCAAAGGCTTTATCTTCCCTTTGGCCACTTGCAATTAAATATTCCTTGCTTATGTACTGAGCATCATTTGTCCAACTTAGCGAGCTGTGACGTTATTTGCATACTCTGCAGGGATACCGAACGCCTGACGAGACGGAATTATTTAATTGCCCTTATATTTCCAATGTATTTAATTAGGTTTGATTGAACATAGATGCCTGTACATATGGTCATGAAAGGAAACAAAATGACACATAAATAATTGATTCGGCTTGTATTTCTATCTAAAAAAGGCCAAACGTGCGTACCATCTATGAAATTGTACAATTTCATAACAATTTCCGTACCAGTAAATTTCTAACGTCTGAAAAAATATTTGAAATTGTAAACTGTCCACACATTCCAAAAGCAGGCATACATGTAAATATAGCCAAATGATTTGGAATCCTTGAAAATGTGTGCATTTACATGAATACCAACGCTATTCCAAATAGGAAATGGGCGTTTTGTGTCGTGAGCCAGGGTGGGAGAACATGGCTTTTATAAAAACTGACTTTCATGAGAAAGTATACGGATCAGTTTTTCAAAATTGCAAAAAAACAAACACAAATCACAAACTTTGATGAAAATGTTGTGTTACGAAAGTATAAATAAACTGAAAAACACACCATTGACCACCAAGTGTCAACATCACAGATCCCACTCCAGCACGAGGGATAAAATGGGCGATTTCACAGGTTACACCCAGGACATATGCGTTACCATGATCATTACTGTCACTAATGTGTATGTCTCCATGTGCAAACATGCACACGACGTCCGACAGCGATCGTTAGGCCTCTAATGACGTCTTCAGAAATCACCCTCCATTCCTCTCTCAGTGCGTGTACCATCTGATTTCTGTTCATTGGAGGATTGGGATTGCGTCGAATGTTTTGATGAGTATGATCCCAAAGATGTACTGTTGGTGACATGGCAAAACATTGACCTTGTTCTTAGCCAGAAACTGTACAACACAAGCTGTGTGAGGTCTTGCATTGACCTGTTGAAACAAGATCCGGTGGTTGCCCTGCAAGAACGGTAACATGACCGAACATGATTGAACACGGGGTCAGTTCACCACAGTGCATTACAATACATCACAGTAAACCATAACACACAACAATACCCTGCAGTTCACCATAGTGCATTACAATACATCACAGTAAACCATAACACACCACAATACACTACAGTTCACCACAGTGCATTACATCACACCACAGTAAACCATAACACACCACAGTACACTACAGTTCACCACAGTGCATTACATCACACCACAGTAAACCATAACACACCACAGTACACTACAGTTCACCACAGTGCATTACATCACACCACAGTAAACCATAACACACCACAGTGCACTACAGTTCACCACAGTGCATTACATCACACCACAGTAAACCATAACACACCACAGTACACTACAGTTCACCACAGTGCATTACATCACACCACAGTAAACCATAACACACCACAATACCCTACAGTTCACCACAGTGCATTACAATACATCACAGTAAACCATAATACACCACAATACCCTACAGTTTACCACAGTGCATTACAATACTTCATGGTAGACCATAACACACGGTCGGTCAAGTTATTTAAGCTGGCTTTAATACCCTTTGTTTATTTAGCATATTAATTTTTTTCAAAATAATTCGGGGACAGTTTTTATTTGGATAAAATCCCAGGCCTCACCCTTCCACAGAATATCAGGTAGTCAGTCCCTCAGTGTTAATAAATTCTTAAACTTCACTTTGGTGTATCGTTGCCAATACACACCTTCGGTGTGTCTGTTTATATTGTTTTTCACTGACACGAGTGTGGACTTGTGCGTAGGCTATTAATCACCTTAATCACCAATTACGAGTCGTTTCTCTTCGGGTGAAGCGTTGCCCGTTTGTTCACCACGGCGACAACCCTAAGATAATGATGTGTAAATGACGAATCTGCTGTTAATATATCATTAGGATTGTTGGCTTGCCGTCTTCTTTGTTCTGCTTGTGAGGCAGGATGAATTTAATAAACAACTACGGTCTTGTGGTTCATGAAGGTCTGATACACCCTATTCCAAGTTTCGAACTTATTATTCATATGTATATGTAGAATATGTATATAATATTCATAAGTGTTCAACAACCTTGGTTTTGTATTTCTAAATGAAAAACTTCAGTGCTGAACAAGTGCGTTGGAAATGTCTATTGAACTTTCTGGGAGAAGCGTTTATTTAAAACCATTGTAACTATTGGAATAAATTGTAATCATTAAACGCACCTTAAAAAGGCCGAAGTTACCTACAAAATCATTAGCGTTGACAAGACAACGAAGGTATATTATATGGCTCAACAAATCCACGCCGGATAAATTTCTTGATAAAAGTTAAATGTGACGGATAAACGCAACGACAACGTGTTTCGATTCAAATAGAAAGTATCTTTCATACCATAACCTGCTACACCATCATCTGCCGTATCGGAAATTCACCAGTTTGTAAGTAATATTATAGAGATGCACTTTGTACATTATTGCGCATGACTTTCACTTGAAATACAGTTTTTGTACATAAAGCACCAGATGTAATGTATGCTCAATAATATAGAAATAGGTATTGGAATTATACAGAGATTGAACAGAGGTAATAACATGTTCTGCTGTATTAACTATACCCTTCTTGCTAGAAGTAACGTGAGCAGTTATGTTGTACGTATAGAAAGTTTCTGTTTCAATGGCTTATCTGAATACCATGCACGAGTTCTGTACGAAAAATGTCAGAGAGCAAGGTGGATAAAAAAATGGAATCTGCTGATTGCTTTTGTTAATATTGTTGGGTTGGAAGTATGAATGCATACAGTATCTATATTTTAACATGGACTCACATCAAGCGGTCGTTTGTCCGTCCTGGCTACATGAAGCAATGATAGTTTTGCTCCTTCTCTCCTGAACATACTCTCGTGTCACTAGATTTCGTGGTTCATTGATGGCTTGATTGTCTGGTTTGTTTTCAGACTGATGTCGCATGGCAGGAGTACTGCTGTGCTGCGTCAGGCGAAAACCTGGTCTCATCACTGATTTGCAGTGGTCGACTCCATTCATATAATGTCCACAACTATTTGCCCTTTGCGCGAAGTGGAATCGGTCTCGGTAGAAAATCTAGTCCGGTTATTCTCTTGCATTGCCAATTCATATATCTAGAAATGTGTCACTGTCATCGACAACATATGCTAAAGCAGTGTATGCTAAATACGTACTTAATTTTAGGGTTGTCCTTTGGCTTCCAAGTGCATTATGACATATGAAAGAAACTGAGACCAAACAAAATGAAATATAATACAATGTCAGGTGTCAAGTGTGGGCTTCATATGACCTCTGGAGACCATAACTAAAATGTGGAGAAAAGCAAATAACTTTTTTAACTTCTATTTATTACAACGCTCCACATATATGGGATTTGTGTTGGTTAGTATGAACGTTAAGGTGCATAATGGATTAGAATATATGTCAATATAATCAGGTGGAAACTGCTAACGTTTGTCAACATGGTTTATTGAGCCTAGCCTTTAGTATATGGTGGAAGAACAGTGCCAACACGGCACAAGGCTGACTTAAGACATACATAAGCTACCTTAGTTTAGTTTCTCGTTTTGTATTAATGGGTAACAGGAGGTTAAAAGAACAGGAAATAGAACATTGGTAATTGAGTCCATTCTTTTTGCATGGAAGAGATAATTATATAAAAAGTCATAATTGCTTTTTATATTGAATGATTCGCAAAACCCTAGCCTATAGCGAGCAGTTTTCAGAAAGAATGGAATGTGTTTAAAAAAAATACATATCCTGTTATGAGCTAAGATATTTCCCCTGAAACTCAAAGCCTGCCACGTTTCTTCATACAGCCTGAGATTGCTCCATGGCGCTCGTAAAACTTCAGCTACACCTCTCTCTGCTGCACTTCCTCCCCTCGGACATAGCCCCGCCAGGAAGTGTTGAGAATGTGCTTGACTGCTTCAACTCTTGTCTGAAAAACCAGGAGTGTGTCTCCCTGATTTACGACAGATACAACAAACAGTGCTACGCCTACCCAGGGAGGCTTGAGGTTCCCTTCTGGGGAACTGACCTCAATACCGACCTCGGCATCTACAATACCAACAGAGGTAAGTGAACCTGTCTGGTCTTAGCAATAATAAGTTTAAACAGCTTCGTGGCTTGCCTTAGACCAAATCATGTCTCAAATGCCATCAGAAAGCTCAAAATAAACACGCCTTTCACACGAAAACCGTGTGTGTGAATGCATCGATCTACCGATAACCTACGTTTCGACGCATAGCACAATGGCTATCGATAACAAATTAGCGTTGTTGATCTCAGCAATTACTGGATGATTTCGTCATTCACTGGTATACTGCACATGCACTTGGTCGTACCAGATTATCAAACACGATGGAATCTATTTCAGAACAATTCAGTAAAACAAAGAGATAGTCATTCTGAATATGTGAGACTGTAACTGGGGAGCTGGTGCAAACAAACTGGCATATATAGTTTCATAAACATTGAAATACATCAGTTCAGAGTATTCTTACTATTTCTACAATGGAACATTTGAATTTTATAATGAACGACTTTGTTGAATACAGGCAGAACATATATACAAAAGGATGGGTTGTCGAGCTGAATTAAGGAACATCGATACTAGCCATTTATCAAAGGTTGTTTCTGTATATGCTCAAACATTGTTTTTCAACATCATCATTGCTTACTCGCATACACAACCGGCATCGCAAGTGCGTACCTTAGCAACTTCCTAAGTCAAGGTGAAGTGGACACCCCAAACTAAATTTAGCAAGCACAACACAACACTATCTCCAAATCGCAACGCAGAAGATCTGAAGTCACCGTCAGCTTTTGAAAAATGGAAAATTCCAAACTCTCTATCGTCGTGAAAAAAATCTCTCACGTGTATTACGCCCGAAATGTATTGCGACGCATTACTGAACACAAATCCTGAGCGCCTGGCCTGTTTTATACGTTAACACGTGTTGTGTATATGTGGTCTTATCTCATGGACACGATCTGAAGGTAGCAGAGCAAAACACAGTGTTGTTTATGTATAATATAAAAGATTTGAAGGCGACAGGAATAATTATACATTGAATTTGAAACTGAATGGTATTATGTTTAAGCGATATATTCTGTATATTTATTTGCATGTAGGATCATTTATACAATGACAAAGCGTACTGATACAGGGAATATGTACCTTTCCCTCATATTATGAACTAAACATATAAACACACTCGGAAGGGTAATGTATATTTTAGAATCATTTCCTTTTAGAACTTGGAAAACAAAGTCTTATACTATGACTATTGTCATAATAATAATCTATTGCGTATCATATCTGATATTGGTGTAAATGACTTTCAGCAGTCTGTCCTTAAACATTCGTACAATGAATATATGTAAATATTGTTTCGGAAGATTGTGACACTTAATGTTTCCTTGTGGAAAAAAGACGAGAGCATGACTGGTACATGATTAATATCACATGCTTCGTTTGAGCAACATTTCCAGTTTGACGTTACCATTTCGAGTTGCCGTAGCTGTAATAGAGAATTTATATTTCAGATGGATATGGCTGTCCAAGTCATCGTGGATATGATTATAATTCCACGGTGAATGTGTGTTTCAAAATACACGGTAACGCTAAACTGAGCAACATTAAAGCTGCCAGGATCTGTAACTCCGAGGGTGGCCATCTTATCAGAATCACGTCAAGTGCGAAGGATGAATTTGTGTCTGCCGTTTGGCCACAGAACCCCAGTAAGCAGTCACATAAAACGTCAACAACTGTCTCCCTATTATGTTGTCAGAAGTGCTAGTCCAGTGCCTAGATTTTCCAATGTTTTTCCATCCTGCTATTTCACATCATCTGATATTGATATCATAAATTCCAATATCATTATGTATACAATTTACATATTTGTCACTTGCTGCACGATGAATTGATGAGTCAAAGTCGATATTATCTGTTACCATATGCTGAATGTGATGAATAATTATCAATCAACTTAATGCATAAATAAAAGGTTTAATTGAAGTCCCATATTAGCTCATTCAGCCATGATAAATCCAATTTGTCTTAACACTAAACTATATATGAATACATTTGTACAAGGGAGATTCGTAATTTGTGTGTAGGGAGTACGATACACAACGGATTTGATGATTGTTTTATCGTCTCCTTTCTCTCTCCCCAACGATTCTGTCTGCATCCCATGTAGAAGAAACCAGAAAAAGTCTTGCCCCACCGGTGGCGTTCAACTTCTTGGAAGAAAGCGCATGCTCGATTGTACGATAAAAGATGTAGAACGTAGACACCAAACACTGAAGCTGACCGAATAGTTTAATAACCTGTCATGAAATATGATTTGATAATTTATAATTTCAATGTGTGTATTTTTGTCACTTACTGACCAAGAAAGTAGATGGCCTATGATGATAGTAGCTGTATTATCAAATACTGGCTTTTGTTTTGAAGTTGCGAAACCAAGAAATCGGTATGCTAATAACTAAATTGTGAAATCTGTAAATGAACAAATCAAATCAATAAATAATGAATTATTTATATTTAAACACAGTTTTAGGTTTAGAATAAATACGTAATACAAAGGGTGAAATAAGTAGCAGCAGCAATAAGTAACATGCCCTAGAATGAATGTTAGTGCACCTATGGATGTTCCGAATATTGTCATGTTGCACGCCTTGAACGAGACCTGTTTCCGTTGTGGAATCCAGAATAGTGTTAGACGCTGGCAAGTTCTCGGTGTTCTGAATAGATACCCAAACAGCACTCTGCAAATGGATTAGAAGCAAGGTCAGGTAAAAGAAGGCCTCGATTCGCCTTCTGTTGGATCTTAAATTGAGCATATATGGAATATTATCCACATGTCTACCATGAAACAATTTGAAAGCTTTATTGAGACCTTGAGTGAGTGAGTGAGTTGGGTTTAACGCCGCTTTTAACAGTAATCCAGTTATATCACGGCGTGTCAGCTAAATGTGGGAGGAAAGCCCGAAGTGATGCAGGACTCAGACGTTTACCACTTCGGTGAAACCCACGAGCACATGTATGGTGCTGACAAACCTAGAAACATAATCGGGGCGAATCGGGATTCGAACCCAAAATCATAGGTTTCTGGCGTGTCAAAGGGACGCAACTATGTACAGCAAATAGCGGCTCCTAAGACGACTATGCCACCCGTGCCCCAATTAAGGCATTGAATACTGTACCCATCTCAAGATGTATAATGCTCTTTAAGATCTTCGTTCGTAATATACGTTTGGTATCTAAATACACAAATGTGTCCAATTGACTATGGAGGCCTCGAATCTGCAATTGTATCTACTGCTCTTGCTCGTTCGTTGTTTACTTGTCAGTATCATGAGGATTGGATTGAAACTCCTATCGTACTAACTCGTATGTTAACCCGACAAACGACACACCCTGGCCAGAAAAAAATAAACGTCGTGTAAACATTTACCAGGTAGAGTTAAAGACGGAAAATAGCGTTACAGTCTTTACATTTTCGTCCCGTATAAAATGACCTGTGAAATCACGAATGTTCAAACTTTGAATCAAGACGTCTATAGTCTTTCAGCGATATTCTGTATGGCCTTGTTAGAGTTGAGTGCCCATATATGTAAGCGTTTTGAGAAAAGGTGGCGCATTTTCTTGCTTTTGTGCATCAGCAGAAAACAGATAAAAGATGATGGAAATTGATTGTTAAGTATAAGATGTCACATTATATTGGAGAAAGCTAAAATAAACGACAAAATTTACTCATAATTTCAGTTCTCATCGATGGCAGGTGCACTGTGGACGGCGGCTGGAAGTACTCGACTGGAGATAATTTTACCTACTTCAGATGGAACATAAATAAACCTAGCGCTAACTGTCCTACTTCGAGGGAGTGTCTGGAAACAGCTGTGTCTGGGTTCAACGACATCGCCTGTTGGTATGACCGCCCATTCATATGCGAATTCGATATATAAGCCGCGCAACGCAAAAGATATAGAATGTGTTTTTGGATGGTAAATATCCTTTATTAGGAATAAACATTGTATTTAGAGAGACCTTTCGAGCTAAATACATTGATATAAACGCGGCTTTAATCCCAACTCACTCACTCACTACTTGTTTGTAATGCTTCAGGTTGAAGATAATAAATGTTTTTTAAAGTGCACTGTGAAATTTGTCTGTGGATGTGTTTAAAGTGTTGCCGTGATAGTATACTCTACACCTTCAAATGTAAAGGTGAAAGTTCTGTTTTAATTCGTGTGCTAAATAATTTATAAACATAACTTCTTTGTAGACCCATTCTGCATTAAATGCACATTTCTAACGTTGAAAATTGTAATATCGTCATTACACATACTTCATTAGATCAGTGAATCATGTTCACTTTTCGTATTTTATGTTGATGATGTCACTTACCTAAACATACTGTCCACGCATTCAAGAACTCTAACCTGAATTTTGGCAACTGTTTGAGTTAACAGCATAGGTAGGATCAGCAAACTATATCCTGTCTTGAATAGAAATATTTAGAGAATATTCATCGTCTTTATCATAGGATTATGTGAGATATGGCTGCACAGAGCTGCAGGCTGCAGTGATTTTGTATCTGCAGCCCATAAACTGTTCCATAGTTTATACGATAAGTAAACGCAGATGGAGTAAGAGGCAGCTGAACGGCAGCTGTGTCGGATAAGGAGAGGGTCCGAGCACAGCTGTGTCTGGGTTCAACGCCATCAACTGTGACAATCATACGCCAATTCAATATAAAAAGCCGTGCACAGCTAACTTTTTGTATTGTATGTAATTGTTAATTATCCAGATCAGTCTGATGAGTGTATCCATCACTACCCGTCATCCGATACCAATATAATCACACAAGGAAATTCAAGTGATGAATTAACTCACAAAACGATGGGCCACATCTGTCACTCCTTTATCAAAAACAACTAAACTTTTGTGTGTGTACTGGCATCAGCAGTGACGTTAAATGTCAGTCGTTACAATGATAAACAGCACATTATTTGTATAATTTTGTAAATATAAGAGAGAAAACCCTTCCAATAATCATAAGAAAGCGACGGGAATGTAAATATTTACAGTAAACGTAAACAGTTTGTTAAGCATCGATCCACGCAGTTGGGATCGATGACATGCATCAGTCGCCTTTTACGGCAAGCATGGGTTCCTGAAGACCTGTTCTGCCCGGACCTTCGTATGTTGTTACATTTTGATTACTGTCCAAGGGAACATTTCTGTTTTGGGGCAAACATGCATAAACAAAAGACTTTATCCATTAAAATGTATTTTCTATTTCGTTGAAGGGACTGATGTACTCGTCTTTAGCTTACCCTAATTTTGATGTCCGTTTTCCCATGTTAGAGTTCCTTATTTCGTGTATTCATATTCTCTTTTGATTCAATAAAGTTTGATAAACTGTTCTACTTATGTATTTGTAATTCTTCAGGTTGAAGATACACATAGTATAAACAGCGTGGTAAGTTCCGTGTGAAACCTAGTTTCTGTGTAAAGATTTAAAACTATGCAGTAACAGTGTTCTTTACACCTTGAAATGTGGGGTATGTTTAAATTCAGTATATTTATATAAAATCATCATAGGTATATGCGTTTCCAGATTCGTATAATGAATAATTTATAAAAATTACTCTTATAAGTTCTTATGTTGATAATGAAATACTGTTATTACGCCTATTTCATCAGTTCAGTGGATCATATTTTCGTATTATATTTTGTTTAAGATACAAGTCACGAATTTTGGAAAATTTTTGGAAAATTTTGGAAAAATAAATCATTTATAAACACCCATCCATCAACCCATCCTGCATCAAATGCAGAGTTCTTATGTTGAAAATGAAATATTGTTATTACGCCTATTACATTGGTTCAGTGGATCATGTTTTCCTATTATATTTTGTTGAGATAAAGATACCAGTCACGAATTTTGGCAACACTTGGAGTAATTTTACCAACTTATATTCTAACAACATAAGTAGGATCTGCGAACCATATCCCGTCATTCATAGAAAGATTTAAAGAATACAATATCTCGTCGTCCGTTTAGAGTTTTATGCACACGACAGCAGCTTGCATTGAATTCCTGTCGTCAACCCATGGATCGTTCCTTGATGAAGGTCAAAGCATGATGGCAGAAGTGTGTGGGGATCTTCTAATTCCAAAGATGTTACAAGAATGGTGTGACATTTACGTGTTTGTTTGCTGCTTGACAAGTATAACTGAAATGGTATTGGGACTGTACATACATGTGTATCCCAGAAGATTTAGCCTTTTGTCATGAGAAAAAGGGGTGAGTGAGTGAGTGAGTATGTTTTTACAGAAATGGGCTTCACACATTGTACCCATGTCGGGAATCGAACCCGGGTCTTCGGCGTGACGAGCGAACGCTTTAACCACTAGGCTACCCGACCGCCCCTGAGAAAAAGGAAGGATGACATGCTTTGATTATACATCACAAACAATGTGGTAGAATTGACAGGAATACATGAGTGGGAAACGTTTCTTTCAAAGCACACATCAGTTATCTTCACGATTCATCTATTATTCTCTTTTCAATTTTGAAACTTAAGACTTCCTGTTGTGTGTATAGGCAGACGGTTTGTGGTTGTCACAACAGATTGACGTTGGTCAATAGCTATTGATCAAGAATGTAGATTACACAATCCTGGACTCGGTTATGATTATTGTGCTATATCATGAAAAGGAGATTATAAATACTATTCTACGCAAGCACTTAAATCCATGGTGAGATGAATGCTCAAAATCAAGAGACAATTGTCATTTTGTCTACACACATGTATGTAATTTTAGCAGTTTAATAAACACGTGCATATTCATGATGCTTTGATGTTTGGTTACATCCTATTGCTATGCATATAACATATATTCCACGTATCAATACAAGGGTGTAATGTCGCCATGAAACGTTACCCACTTTTATATTACTTTGTCCAAATCCAAAACAATTTTAAATATAATTTTTAGCCATTGCAATCAGGACTAGTAGTTCTGATATATCATATCTTTCAATGTATTAATCTTTTTACCTCCCTGTGTATCTAATGGCTATGGCCCTTTTTTATCTGCATGTATATAATATTAGTTCCGTGTACGTTAATTACGTCAACATAAGTTGAAGAGTTTATACAATTTACAGTTTGGTCATACCTTTTGGAAATTGTCAGAAGCCATTGTCGGCCTTTTTAACGTGTCATTATTCCTAAAACTGTCCAAATGTCTTCATGGACGAGTTAACATTCTCAAGATAATGGCATATTCTCATGTTAACGTTTTACCTCAAGCACTGAAAATTGGTCCTTCAAGTCTTCTCTGGTTTATATTTTTAAAGATATGATTTAGTTTCGAGTAATATTTTTTTATTCATTTTTAATTTTTTACCCATCATTCGTGTGTAGGTAAGTCCCCATGGTCCCCAATGAGGTAGCCTAGCTTTGGTTACCGGTGGTCTCTAGCCCGTTTTGAAACAGTTGTAAAAAATATTATCATCCCCAAAAATGTTTGGTTAAATTTGGTTATAGATATAACTTTGTATTCATGTTCTCGTCACTTTATGGCTGAAATAGTGCCGATGTGACGTTAAATTTGAAGTCACTCGTTTGCAGTTTTGTGATAGATTTGTTTAAATTGATTATTTGAAGAAAGTCAAACAAGCTTATGTCATGGCCTGCTTTTTTTCGGCGTGCATCGTTGTCGTCGCCTGTAAACATCATCTCCTCAAACAGCACTCCACCAATTAAGCTGAAACTAAACACAGTTTTTCCCCATCAATGATAACACCTGAATGTGCTGACAAAGAAATATCCGAATTTAAAGCTAATATGTGCATAATCCAGTCACTGTCACACCATAAATTTACAACAAAAACTGATTTTGTACGTGTATTTGGTCAACATTTGACTTTGATTTGACCACACCGAAAGCTCATGCTTCTTATAGATGGTACTCATTTTCAAAATGTAATGAAATTTCGATATGTGTAGATAGTAGTGGGACTCCACACTTACGTTCCGTTTTTCGCGACATTTTGAATTTTAACCTTAATTTGACCTTTGCAGTTTGTACTTTGAGCAAGATTTAAAATTCGTTTAAATGCATTTCGTTGCAGTATAACCATCAATCATCAGAAACAATTGGACCAATAAGGATGAAACCTTTCAATAACGCCACCACATGTACAGCAACCATGCTATAAAAACTGTGGCCATTCCCCAGGTATTTGTGTTTCAGATGTATTGTTATTTTGTATATCTGCAGTAAGTAGCGTGGCTTAACCGTTTTGTGTGACATTATATATTCTGAACTTGATTTGACCCCTTTGCACTTCAACCATGATCCTAGATTCTAGGCTCTGTAAACATCTTCTCAGAAAACCTCACAGTCTAGTTCCCACCAGTGATGACACATCAATTCAAGGGGTTAAAATCCGATATAAATATGATTGCAACAGAAGCTAAAACGAAAACACAATGTATGGCCACTGCTTAGCCATATATGCTCTTACATTCTCTCAAAATGCATTGTTGGCTCTGAATGACGATTTTTCCACTTATCAATACAAGGGTGTAATATCGCCATAAAACGTTACCCACTTTTGTATTACTTTGTCCAAATCCAAAACAATTATTAATATAATCTTTAGCCATTGCCATCAGGATTAGTAGTTCTGATTTATTATATCTTTCAATGCATTAATCTGTTAACCTCCATGTGTATCTAATGGTTATGGCCCTTTTTGATCTGCATGATTAATATTAGCTCATGTACGTTAATTGCGTCGGAATAAGTTGAGTAGTTTATAGAATATACAGTTTGGTAATACCTTTTGGAAATTGTCAGAAGCCATTCTAGGTGTTTTTAACGTGTCATTATTCCTAAAACTGTCGAAATGTCTTCATGAAGGAGTTAACATTCTAAAGATAATGGCATATTCTCATGTTAACGTTTTACCTCAAGCAACGAAAATTGATCCTTCAAGTCTTCTCTGGTTCATTCTTTTTAATAATATGCTTTAGTTTCTAGTAATTTTGTTTTATTCATTTTTAATTTTTGACCCATCATTCGTTTGTAGGTCTCCTCTAATTCTCGATCAGGTTGGCAGTACAAATCAATATCAAATGTGACGTGGTATTATTATGATTTCGAAGTGTGGCACGGGCTGTGAGAGTTGCTGTCTGGAAACTTTATCGATGATGCGTCGTTCGAATCCATATGTCGTGTGGATGGGTTGTCCCCCGGGAAGAGTTGGAGGGGGCCAACTACGGGGACGGTCGGTGACGTAAATGTTCTGTTGATAACGTCCCAATTTATGCCATTGGGTGTTCCTGTGAAGGTTGAATTGAAGTGCGACGTCGTGGTGTGACGTAACGAATTCAAAACTTAATATTACTGTGGCTCGTCATCTGTCATTTTCACTTCAAGGTAAAATCTCACCAAACAGTCAAGGTGGATATTTGGCCTTTTATAGAGAACATGATGCATTTCCTCCCGAATATTCGTTATGTTTTCCAAAAGACATGCATATTATATGGTTTGCTGCGTTTCCTTTAGCTTTTTCAGAATTATTTTCTCTGTTTCAAATCCGAACATTCTTTTTGAAGGTTCTTCACAAACAGTATCCAGCGTGGTGAGTTGAGTATGTGCTGTGTGTACATGTAATACATTATGACAATCGACTGATTCTAAAAAAGGGTTCAAGTACAGCAACATGAAAGAATAGATAACAAAACAAAGGGCAAATAGTTAATATTGAATTGGGTCTATTTACTCCATGTATTCGCTTGGTAGATACACAAACCGAATTGACCAGGACTACTTCATTGCATTTAGAGAAGTTTCAATGTTGATTTTTACACCGTTATCAGGGTGGGCAACGCCATAACCCTTCATGTTGCAGAATTTATTGTAAATGCCTTTTACACGAAGATGTAGTGGTAGAAACATCTGTACACAAGTTGCTCTTCGGGGATATCAGTTTCATTCTTCACAGAGATAGCTGGTGTTTCTCTACAACCAAAGATTGTCTTGGTGTGTATGGTCTTCATTGTCAACATATGTGATGTATCTATTAGGGCCTGTGTCACCGGGTCCTAAAACTAGTCTAGTGACAACCTGGTGACCGCACCGGTCCCCCGCTTTAATTGTCCGGCGATCGTCGTCGTACAGTGTCATTACACTCTTAGATAATTAGTGAACCCATTATTTCATTCTCTTGTGATTTAATGACACACTCTTACCATGTATGTTATCTCATATATGTTTTCTACCTTATTCATGTATTGAAAGTGCTTGTGTGACTTCAATTTTACGCTGTAGAGCGACACTTCCAAGTACGTTCAGACATTTTTAATGTATTTACGATCGTTTCTACCTCCTTAATTACTGTACA